GAAGATGGACAATGGCCAAGATCGGCACCGACGTTTCCACATTCAGCCTTGGCCGTGGTCATCTCGGCGGCGTGCCCGGGGGGAAGTGAGAAGGAGCAGGCCTTCTCAGAAGGCGGCGGGGCTTCGCGGACGCCCTTCTGAGAAGTTTCCCATGTCATTGGGGAAGGCTTGTACAATTTCTCAGAAGGCCAGAGGCCTTCTGTGCCTTCTGAGAAGGCCCGCCCCCTCCCACTTCCCCCCAGGGCCTTAGTGGGCTCTTGAAACGACAGGGCCGTTTTTTCACCGGTTCCGTTTTGTCGTTTGTTTGCAGTTTCCGACGCCATTGTTTTACCTCGTCCGTCGCCGTTTTTTAACCAGTTCCGGCTCCGATTCCACTCCCGGAGCCGTTTTTTTTGTGCCGTTTCTGGACGCCGTTTCTTTGGCCGTTTCCACTTTCAAGACACATTTTTTCGGAAATTGTGAAAAAATCAGGCGCCAACATCGCAGAGCGGATTTCGTTCGGAAAACAATGGGATGTGCCCAGATTGTCCTGGAGAATTTCGTTCCGGATTCCGAAGTGAATGAAGACTACAAAACATCCACGTGAAATTCGCTTCTTTCTTCGCTCGCCGTTTTTGGGGACTGTGTTGCATTGACAGACGTCCACGCAACAACCCGCTGCAGCACCTCTGCAAGGTCGGCGCAGTGAAAAAGTCGGCCATGCCTCGGTATCGTTTCACCAATCCCCATCCCCATCCCCATCCCCATCCCCTTCGAGACCCCCGAGACAAATTACCCCCCCAGTTGGGGATGCACCCCTCGAAACCCGACGGGAACGACCGATACCCCCATCTAGGGGGGTGAATCGGCCGGTGGGGCCCAGGCCACGCCGCTGGGGATGGGGATCGGTTCAACGATACTCACTGCCGTTGCCGGGGCCCACGCAGCTTAGCAGGGCGCGCCGCCGATCCTCGCCTCTTCTCTCCCCCCCCCACGTGCCACGGGCTCCGCGGCAGGAGGGGCCGCACACGCAGGGCCGCTCCGGGGGTCGGCTGCGGGCGCTCCTCCCGCGGTGGCGGTGCGGCCCAGAGGGCGCGAGCTCTGTCGGTATCGTTCAACCGCTCCCGAACCCCATCCTGATCCCTACAGTGGGGGCGCGCATCAAGAAGCCATGTGCTTCTCGTCACGGTACCCTGGGTGTCTTCGCTGCTCGCGCTGGGCGGTGACTTCCCGCAGCCGTTGAAGGAGCTGCTGCGTTCAGGGTGCTCCAGGTTTCCCCTCAGGTGCACCTCGCGCACGGGTTCTCAGGGCTGGGTTTCTTGCAAGGGTTTCTAGCGGCCGCGCCCGCACTGTATCCCGATCCCCACCATCATGCCATCCCAATTGGGGATTTGCCTCTCGAAGCACGAAGTGAGCAAGCCTACATCCCCATCTCCGGGGGTGAATCGGCAGGGGATGGGGATGGGGATGGGGATGGGGATGGGGATCGGTGAAACGATGCTTATTCTGGCCTCGGAGGCGCCCGCGGGCGGAGCCGAGCAGCAGCGATCGCGGGGCTCAAGAGACGGGGTTCAGTAAGGGGGAGTTATCGGCGGCGAGCGAGGGGGGGAAAGGAGGAGGAGAAGGCCTTCTCGGAAGGCGCTTCGGGACTCCTCAGAAGCCCTCGCGCCTTCTGAGATTTGTTTTCTGTCTTCGGGGGAGGCTGAGACGACTCTTCAGCAGGCCCTCGGACTTCCGAGCCGTTCGAGAGGGTCCGCCCCTTCTCACTTCCCCCCTGGGCTCGCCGCCGAGGTTGGTCAGAGCGCCGGATCTTGCAGGGCCAGGGTTGCATTGACCCGGGCTTGGGTGCAGGATTCTGTAGGATCCTGCAGGAGCCTGAAGGATCTTGCAGGGCCTGACTGACCCGGGTTTGGATTGACCCAGGTCAGAAGATCACTGACGATCACTCTCGCGTTGGGGGGCAGCGGCAGCACTGCAAGCCAGGGCTCGGAGAAGGAAGCGTTCGCTGGCGAGTCATGGGAGCCTCGTGTACCCTCGTAGTCCCGTCTTTGGCATACACAGTAGCGTCGGTGAGCCTTTGGTAATCGATGGGGGGCGCCCGTTTGGCGTCGATTCGCGTCGACTCAGCGTCGATTCGCGTCGATTCGCACGATCCAACCAGATGGTGCGGGAGTCTCCCACGAGCTGCCAGCGAGCACTGCGAGCCGGGGCTCGGGGAAGGAACGGCTGCCAGGTGCCGCTGCTCGCCCATGGAGAGGGCCCTCGGCCGCCACGGCTGGGTTCTCCTCCGAAAGCTCCGGTCAGAGTGCGCCCCGGGCCGCGTCCTCCTCCTCCTCTTCCTCCTCCTCTTCTGCCTCCGCCTCCTCCTCCTCCTTTTCCTCCTCCTCCCCCTCCTCGCCCCCTCCCTCCTCCTCCTCCTCCTCCTCCTCCTCCTCCTCTTCCTCCTCCTCTTCTTCCTCCTCCTCCTCCTCGAGTAGTGGTATCGGTTTCTTTTTTTCCAGGCTTCCCAGATGGGGTCCGAGAGTAGATGGGGTCGGAGGATCGCGCCGCATTGCCGATGCGGATCGTTGCGGAGCCCGCGTTTCCCCACGCCGACGTCGCCGAATGCATCGGCGATGCATCGCCGATGCATCGCCGACGCCTCGGCGATACCTCGGCGATGCGCTGGCAGTGCGGCGCGATCCTTCGACCCCATTTGCTCGGACCCATTAAGGAGGCCTCTATGGTGAAGGCCTCACGGCCTGTGTCGCCGACCCTGAGAGACATCGACGACGACCAGGAGGAGGAGGAGGAGGAGGAGGAGGAGGAGGAGGAGGAGGAGGAGGAGGAGGAGGAGGAGGCGGAGATACGGAGGAGGAGGAGGAGGAGGAGGAGGAGGAGGAGGAGGAGGAGGGAGGCGGAGATACGGAGGAGGAGGAGGAGGAGGAGGAGGAGGAGGAGGAGGAGGAGGAGGAGGAGGAGGAGGAGGACAAGTTAGGTGCGCTCGCGTCAACATCTGACATCCTACCCCTCCCTCCCATCCCTTACCATGGCGCTGATTTTCTCTATCCGCGGACGCGTGTCGTAGCGGACCTGTGGCTCCGCGCGCGTGTGCGTAGTGGGTGGTGGTGCGCGTGCGTGCGTGCGTGTGTGCGTGGTTGTGGTTGTTGTGGTCGTGGTGTGTATGTGTGTGTGTGTGTGCGCGTGTGCGCGTGTGCTGTGGTGTGACGTGGTGTGGCGTCTTGGTGGTTTGGTGGTGGGCCAGGTGCGTACGTGCGAGGAGGAAGAGGAGGAGGAGGAGGAGGAGGAGGAGGAGGAAAAGGCCTTGTGTCCCCCCCCAGAGCGTTGTCAGCTACAAGGCTGCTGCTGTCGCCTGCGGGCGGAGAGGGAGGTGGCGGCCGAGCAGGTGCCGTCGTTGAGCTCTCGTGCCGAGGTCCTGCAGTGCAGAGGGGCCTCGCGTCTCGGGCGGTCTCGGTGCATCCATCGTCAGTTCCGCTGCGAAATTGCGATGCGATCTGTGACTTTCAACCTAGTGTTAGGTCGGGCCTGTCCCCCGACAGGGGGGATGTTCAAGCATAGTCAAACCATAATGTGGAGACTACTCTTTTCACCATGTTTGTTTGTTGTTGCAATTTGGCGGTATTTTTTTGAGTATTTTTTGTTTTTCGGCCAACATTCGCCTGTAGGGGGCCAGGCCCGAGCGAAACCTAGTGCGCAGGGAGCAGCTGTGTATGGTGTAGCCACCAGCATCGCCCAAACATGCTCACGCTATGTGCGCGCCGCTCCCCCCCTCCCTCCCCCCAGGGGCGACGCGCGCGCCGATACATCTTCTGGCACGTGCTCGGAGGCGGGCTCCCCTTTTCTGGCCCTGCCGCTTGGGAAACGATCTATGCTATACGATGTCTGTACCAGGGTTTTCGGTTCAGGCGTGCGCCTCAAATGGGAGGCGCATAGCACCAGTTCGTCCGCCTGCGCCCCATGTAAGATCGTTTCCTCGTGCCTCGAATTGGGCGTTCGTTGCGCTCTTCGTCGACCTGCCCGTCCTCCCGGGCGTGTGCACCCTTCGCTCAAGTCGGGAGCGAAGCAGAGACGCCCGCGTGCACGACCTCGCGTGGGCCTCGATAGACCACCCTGCTCGAACGTTCTCGAGGCACGAGGGCTGCCCCGCGATCTGGGGGGCACACTCGCGCACGTGAGGCGTTCAAGAGAGGGCCTCGCCTTCGGGGATCGAAGGAGTTGCCGTCTCTTCCACGGCGGAGGGCGGCGGAAGAGCGGCGGAGGGTCGCGGACGTAAGGCGAGGACGGCTCCGCCAGCAAAAGCTCGGTGGAAGTAAAATCTACTCCCCCAAGAGATACCATTTTTTGTGGATTCAGGGTTCCCAGAGTCACGTGACTCGGTGCGTACATCCTTTACTGAGATCCCAACCAGGAGAGGATTATGTCCCGTGCGCCCTCTTCCACTGCCTGCAGCGCGGGGAAGCAGACGTGAAGCTGCCTCCAGAGACCGTGATATGAATTGTTTGTTTTTTTTCGAGTTGAAGCGTCATCGGCAACTGGCGCCCCAGAGTAGTTCTGTCTCCTCCTTTCCCTTGCGTTCTCCCCATCTCCCTCGCCCTCTCTCTGCCCCCACGAGACCCTTCGCCCGGTGGCATGCCGCGCGCGGGCGTCAGCTCGTCCAGCAGGCGGACATGCGTGTCTGCTGCGCACGCAGGCCTCCCGCCTGGCCGACCCCACGGCCATAGTGCGTCTCACCGCGGACGATGGACCCAGCAGGTCCTTGGTCCTTCATCTCTCCCAAGTCCGTCCCCTGATGCCCCTTCGAGCCCTCGAGAACCGATTGGGCTGCCCTGGAGCCCCGTCTCCCCCACCCAGAGGCTCCTCCAGGTGACCCCCCAGCCCCACCCCCACAGCCCCCCCCCCCCCGAAAACCCTCAGCCCTCTCAGAACCTCCTCTTCTTCCTCCCCCCCCCGTTCGACTCGGCGGCGGCGGCGGCGGCGGCAGCGGCGATGACCGCGAGGCCTTCGCGCACACCCCCGCCCGCAGGAGGGCGAGTCGGGCGTGTCCTCGCTGCCCAGCGTTGAGGCGATGCCAGTGGCCAGGCTGGACCCGGAGGAGGGCCTCGTGAAGGACCTCTCCTTCCTCGGGGCACATTTCGATCCGATCGACCAGATTCGATGTCGATTTCGGCTGCCCGATCCGATTCGATTCCGATATTCCGACGATCCTGTCCGGCCGCCCCACTTGCGGGGAAGTGATGAACATCTGGCTTGACCGCGCCGTTTCCTGCTCCTGCCGCGGCGACAGGACGAAACGCCCCAACGCGCTTCGGAACCAGGGGCTCTTCGACGCGCAAGCAGCCGGCTTCGCGGGGGCGGAGCTGGAGCGGCCCGGGCGGCGAACAACGCGGCGAGCAGGACGGCCCAGACCTGGACTGGACGCATGCGACAGGCGCCCCGCGGAAATCTACTTGCCCAGGTGGCGCAATGGGGTGCTCGCGGCCAGGGACTTCGCGGCCACTTCTGGCATGCGCGGCGGCCTCCTCGGCGCGTCTGCCGCGTCCCCCAGCGCGGCCGCGGAGAGGCACAAGGAGTTCAAGCGGCAACACTTGGACACCGAACGCCAGTGCGCGGCGCAGGGCTTCACCTTCATAACCCATGGTGGTGGAGGCCCACGGTGGCGGGTGGGGGCGCGAAGCTAGGACCTAGGAGAGCTTTTGCGATCTTGGCCAAGCGGGTGGCGGACGCCACCAGGGAGGAAGCAGCCGCAGTGGCAGACCGGCACGCCCAGCGATTTTCAGTCTCCCTGCATCGGGGGAACGCGCGGGTGGTGCTGCGACGGCTACAACCGTCGGCGCGGGTGCCCGCTGCGCGCCTCGCAGCGGCCACGGCGGCGGCTGCGGCTGACGCCATCTCAGTCGCGGTCGCCGTCGGCGCCGGTTGGCCCTCTGCCCCTCCCGACCCTTGACCCCTGACCCGCGACGCCCCCGACGACCAACGGCGACCTCCAGCGCCGCGACGACCCGCGACAAACCCCCGCGACGACCCACGACGAACCCCGCGACGACCCTCGTTCCTTCCGCCCCCCGCCCGCCCCCGTCGTGCGCGCTTGCCCTCTGCTGCTTTAGCCGCCTCCCCTTGCCTCCTGCGTGGTTGTGTCTGCTCGTCGCGCTTTTCCTTGTTTCCTGGCCTTCTCCCCTCTCCCCCCTCTTCCTCCTCCTCCTCCTCCGCCTGCTCCTCCTCCTCCTCCTCCTCCTCCTCCTCCTCGTCCTCCTCCTCCTCCTCCTCCTCTTCCTCTTCCGCTCTTCCTCTTCCGCCACCCGCGCGGCGAATGCTCGCGCGGGGCACCCGCTGGCACGCTAGCGTTCAGCGCGGGTAGGCGATTGCTAGATCGAACCGCAGCCCCGCCGGGAGGCAGCTCGAGTTGCGCAGTGATGCAGCCGTGCTGACAGTGCAGCTGGCCGCCGTGCTCTTTTTCTTTGATCGGCCGTGATGCTGTGCTGCCCCGGGAACTTCATCAACCTACAGTGACCCGATGCTTGCACTGCGGTGTTGTCTGTATCTTGTCGCGGCCGATCCGATTTGGCTTCGATTCCGTGCCGACGAGATCCGATCCGATGCACGTTCCGTCCCGATCTTATTTCCCGATTTGATGTTATCTGATCCTGCCTCCCTGCTATTGTCGGTGTTGGACGTGAGGACGTGTGTGCGTACGGTTGTGAACTTTCCCTCGGCGTGTCGCGACGTCGGTTCTGGCCCGCCGTGTCTCTGCGCGACACGCTATCCACTTCCAATGCCCAGGCGTCACCGTCCCGAGCGGATCCCTGCCTCCCGCCCCGCGGAGCGGAACGACACGCTATCCGCTTGCTGGGCATAGCGTGTCGCCAGGGGTCCCCGCCGCGACACGCCAAACACAAGTTCGCGACCGTGTATCGCAGACGCCTGCGGCGAGCCACCGCGCCGCACCCTACCTTCCGGAAACTCACATGTTGCCAAGCGTCGGGCCGAAGGCTGGCCAAGCCGTTGGCCAAAAACATAAATTCTGGCAAGCCAGCAACCCTTCTTGCAACCAACACGGGTGTGTGCATCTGGTCGCCTCGTGCTTCCCGCTGCCTCCCTCCCTGGTCGCCCCCTTCGTTGGTCCGGAAGAGGGCAACAGTTCGTGGACACCCCCCCCCTCCCCCCCAAAATCAAAGTTGGCATGCGCGGGGGAGACTGCGGTCGAAAGGCAAATCATCAGACCCACCGCCAGCTTTGAACATTGAGGAGGAGGAAGAGGAGGAGGAAAAGGAGGAGGATGAGGAGGAGGAAACAGAAGAGGAGGAGGAGGAGGAGGAGGAGGAGGAGGAGGAGGAGGAGGAGGAGAGAAAGAGGAGGAGGAGGAGGAGGAGGAGGAGGAGGAGGAGGAGGAGGGAGGAGGAGGGAGGAGGAGGAGGAGGAGGAGGAGGCGGAGGACGAGGACGAGACACAGGAGGAGGAGGAGGAGGAGGAGGAGGAGGAGGAGGAGGAGGAGGAGGAGGAGGAGGAGGAGGAGCGGAGTCGGAG